CTTGGTAGCCCAGGCTGGCCTCGAACTCACAGAGATCCGCCTGGCTCTGCCTCCCGAGTGCTGGGATTAAAGGCGTGCGCCACCACCGCCCGGCCAAATAAACAAATATCTGGCTCATTAAACAAACACATTTCATTTAGATCTGTGTCTGCTGCTGCAAGTCCATTTGATACCCTGGATCAGAGTTCTTCTCTAAATCCATTCTTAGGAACACTTTTGAGCCCTGCATGGTGGCACACACCTTCAATCCCAGCACTCAGGAGGCAGAGGCAGGTGGGTCTCTCTGAGTTCGAAGCCAGCCTGGTCTACAAAGTGAGTTCCAGAATAGCCATGGCTATTTGTTACACAGAGAAGCCCTGTCTCAAAACAAACAAACAAAAACAAAAAAGAAAGAAAGGAAACAGCTTTGAATATAACTTTGTAAGGTCTAGCGTAAGGGCCAGGAGAGACTGCTCAGTGGTTAAGCCCACTGGCTGCTCAATCATGAGGACTAACATTCAGATCCCAGAACCCAAATAGAGTCACAAATGCCTGTGACTCCAGCCCCAAGGGCTCTAAACCCTTTCCGGCCTCTGTTGGCATTTGCACACACAAGAGATAGACTTAGAACAAGTTAAAAATGCCAAAAAGCATTGCCACACAAGGTGTAGTACAGGGCGGGCCCATTCAATAATCAGAAAGGTACAAACACAGAGTAAGGTCTAGAAAATCTCATAGCAATTTGAGAAAGTAGCTGATAAGTCAGATTTTAATCAGATAACTAAAAAAGTAGATTGTACTGTCTGTGTTTGTACTCTACATGTTTCTTTTCCCCCTTAGTAATCAATTTGGTGGTCAGCGGGCCACAATTATCAAGCATGACAGATCAGAAGTTTAAAACATCACCGACAGCCATCAGTCACAGCTGGCCCCTCACAAGCAGTGTGAGACGTGGAGCTCTCGGTGTCTCGCCTACCTTCCCACTGTCACAGTAGAGGAAGAGTTCCGCAAACATCTGTCTCCGCATGTCCGTTTTCACGATCTCCCGGAATCCTTCTGCACAGTGGCAAAGGTGTTTAATGAGTTTCTCAAAAACTTCACTTTTCAAGTTTGCAACGTGTGAAGAGATGTACTGCAGAAAAAAAAAAAAAGTAGGACAAATGATGGCTTAAAACCATGTTCTTTGTTTGGGTTTTCCCAATGGGCTTCAGTTCACATACATGAATGTTATCAGCTGTAAGATGTTTCCACATTGTTTGCTTATCATTCAAAGTGTTTTCATGTAAGTGCCAATCTGTGGGCTCGCCTTGGTTCCTTCCCTATTGCCAAGAAGAGACGTCATGAAATGAAACTGGAGAGAGAGAGAGAGAGAGAGAGAGAGAGAGAGAGAGAGAGAGAGAGAGAAAGGGGAAAGAGAAACAGTCTTGATATTCTCAAAGTCCCTGTTGGCTCTATTCCTAAGGCCCTTGGCTCATTTCTCTTTCAGCCCTACCAAGTTGGTTTCTAGTTCTTGTAACTAATATGTGAAAAAGTTCCATTTTAGTAATTTGCTACTGAAAACAAGTCATTTCTTTTAAATGGAACATGCTTTTTATATATTCATGAGCACATTTAAAGTATTTTCCTGTCAAATTTATTTTTATTTCATGTATATGATTTTTTTTTTCCCCTGCATGTGTGTATGTGTACCACATGGATGCCTGGTGCATTGGAGGTCAGAAGAAGGCATCTGACTGAAATTGTGAGCCATCATGTGGGAGCTTGGGATCAAACTTGGGTCCTCTGCAAGGGCAACAAGTGCCTTAACCACTGAGCCATCTCTCCAGCCCAACATGAGAACTTATTTCAAGCTGATTGTTCACCTCCTCACTACTATCATCTAGGCACATTTAGATTGCAGTTTGTAAAAGGCTTGGTTGGGGCTGGAGAGGTGGCTCAGCAGTTAAGTACACTTGCTCCTTAATCACGAGGACCAGAGTTCAAATGTCAGCACTCACATCAGGTGGCTCACAAATGCCTCTAACTCCAGTTCCAAGGGATCTGACACCCTCTTCTGACATGTGAGGGAACCCACACACGTGTGTATGTAGTTGCACACATGAAGACACCAGCACATACACCCATACAGTTTTTAAAAAGATGTATCATACTTGTAGCCATGAAAATTAATTTTAAACTCTTACTTGATTTACCAAAAAAAAAAAAAAAAAAAAAGGTCGCTTGTTTGTTTGGAGGCAGGGTCTCACCTCCAGCCTGCCTTCAGATTCCTACGGAAACAAGACTAGCCTTAAACTTCTGAACCTTTTGCCTCCGCGTCCTGACTGCTGAGATTGCAGTCATGTCCTACTACCTTTGGATTCTGCCGTGCTGGGGCATGATAGGCAACTGTTCTCCCAACCCAGCCGCCGTTCTCCCAACCCAGCCGCCGTTCTCCCAACCCAGCCGCCGTTCTCCCAACCCAAAATGGGTATCACAGTAGCAGCTGTCTCAGAGGGACATGGTGAGGTCACAGGAATGTATACACAGTGTGCACGGAATCTAGGTATTCCATGTAATAACTTCATAGCTATTTTTCTTGTCTACTCCACAGGCAGTTAGGAAATTGGTGAATAGCATTTTCTTTATAAAATAAGACAGTCCTTCCAGCAGACAGAAAATATATTCTTAGAGGAGGAGAGATGAATGAGATCAGTGATTTTCACAGTGTGGCCCATACACCAACAGCATCACCTGAGAAGGTGTTGGGAATACAGTTTGGAGCTTTGCCCCTGAGTTGCTGCCCCAGAAATCCTGGGGTTGAGAGCAATCTGTGTTTTAACAAGCCCTATAGAGGATATAAATTTACTAAAGTATGAGAATCACTGAGCTGGATGATATGGGGTAACTGGTCCCAATTAATTCAGTATCCTAAGATCTGATTGCTTAGTACTAATGACTCTTTGCTTGACTAGTAGACATTTTTCTAATTTACTCAGATTGTAGAATTATTACATAATTGGCATTTTTAAATTTTTTTTATTTTACAATACTATTCAGTTCTACATAACAGCCACAGATTCCTTTGTTCTCCCCCTTCCTGCCCCCCCTCCCCTTCCCCCCAGCCCACCCCCCATTCCCACCACCTCCAGAGCAAGGCCTCCCCCGAGGACTAAGATCGACCTGATAGACTCAGTCCAGGCAGGTCCAGTCCCCTCCTCCCAGACTGAGCCAAGCGTCCCTGTATAAGTCCCAGGTTTCAAACAGCTATCTCATGCAGCGAGCCCAGGACCTGGTACCACTGCCTAGATGCCTCCCAAACAGATCAAGCCAATCAACTGTCTCACCTATTCAGAGGGCTGATCCAGTTGGGGGCCCCTCAGCCTTTGGTTCATAGTTCATGTGTTTCCATTCATTTGGCTATTTGTCCCTGTGCTTTATCCAACCTTGGTTTCAACAATTCTCACAATATAAAAATGCCAATTATTCTCTTATATATGAGTGAGAATAATTGGCATTTTTATATTGTGAATCAATTCTGTAATGTTGAAAAAATATTGGTTCATGATAAAAATATCACCTATATTCTATTCAGCTTTTGGGAATTAATGCTAAAGCCATGTGAATTATTTGGGTGTGGGGATTCTACTTAATCAAGATTGGTTAAAAACCTTTCTCTGAAAGACAGTTCTACACTCTGGATTCATAACTTACGGGTTTCTGAACAAGCATATTCTAATTGTGCAAAGTGTCAGTTATATAACATGAAGATTAACAGTCATCCACCTAACTCTAAATTTAATTATAAATAGAACAATTACAGAAAGTTGACCATGTCTTACAAGAACAGAAGAAAAGTGAAAATACATGGGTGTCTTCGTGTTTTTATACCCTTGCAAAGAGTGAATCCAAACACGTCTTTAGATTATTTTAGAACTTAATGACCTTCACTTTATTTTCTATTTTCTTTTTCTTCTTTTTTTTTTGTTTTTGTTTTTGTTTTTTCGAGACAGGGATTCTGTGTGGCTTTGGAGCTTGTTCTGGAACTTGCTCTGTAGACCAGGCTGGCCTCAAACTCACAGAGATCTGCCTGCCTCTGCCTCCTAAGTGCTGGAATTAAAGGTGTGCGCCACCACTGCCTCCGCACCTCCCCCTCCCCCCCCTCCAGCATGACCTTCACTTTAAAAGCTCTGTGAGCTGCTTAACATTTATTTGCCTTTTGTCAAGCCACCTCTCTGAGCCAGGTCTCAGAAAAGAAAAAAAAAAAGAGTTTTTCTATTCTTCTATTCTGATTTGATGTTGAGAACATGACAAATGTCACACTTAATAGACTGGTAGCTGCTGTTAAGAGTCTACTGTGTTGGGCCATCAAGAATCATGATCCTTAGTATCTCAGAATATGACTATATTTGGAGATAGAGTTTTTGAAGAGGTAATTAAATTAAAATGGGGCCTTTAGAAGTAGGTCCTAATCTAGTAGGACTAGTCTTTCTATGAAGAAGAAATTTGGACACACACAGCTGGATGGATATGTGAAGACCAATTATCACAGGTGATAACTAGTCATTTGTAAACCAAGGAGATTGATCATCACAGGAGATAACTAGTTATCTATACACCAAGGAGATTGATCATCACAGGGGACAACTAGTCATCTATAAACCAAGGAGACTGCTCATCAACATAAACCAACCTTGCTGACATTTGTCTCAGATTTCTAGCCTACAAAATTATAGAAAAATACACTTTTTGTTATTTAATCCACTCAATCTGCGGTGCTTTGCTGTGGCAACACTAGCAGAGTACTATGTGTGATGAGGAACTGCTAATCAGTCCGTTCCTGTTATGTATTTCTTTCAGAAGACCATCCAGGAAGAGACACACTGACTTAGAGGCTTGTTCACCCATCTCTTCTTATTTCTCTGGCACAAGATTCTCTCCTCTCACCCTAAGGTTTCATCACATGTTTTCATGACATACTTTTACTGGTTACCTCTCCCAAAGCTACACAGCCTCCATTCTCCTGTTCTACCATACAATAACTCAGAGTACATGAGTAAAAGAAAACAGACAAAAATAAAGACATAAATGAGGTAGAGAAACTGGAAATCCTTTGGGGTGTAAAATACCACTGTGGGAAAAATTTAGTAGAACATACCAAGGAGAGGAACAGTCTTTGGTTACAGTTTCTGAAGCCTTTCTCTTTAAACTTAACTGCCACACCATTGAGGGACTCAGACTTAAATGATTGACATTAAACAACCCCATAAGAGAGGAATCATCCCAGAGTGAAATAACACTAGGAAGAGAATAAGATCCAAAAAAGAGGAGGCGTGCTCTTCTTACTCCTGGCCAAGGGATGCATGGTTTCTCAGTATGAAGAACTGGAAGTTAATATCAGACTTCCCTTACACAGTATCGATGTATATCATTATCCTTAAGCTCATTATTTAATTCAGGAATGGTCTCAGGTTGTCTGAAGCCCAAACTTACTTAAGGATGCTCCTGAGAAATGAACATTTACTTTATACAGTCTCATAATAATCAGAAACATATTGGATTATTTTCATTTGCCTCTATTGAGCAGTTAAGTGTGTGACATCTCTTTAACAATCAGATGGGCCAAAAGACCAGGAAATGACGCAAGTGTGGGAGAGCACAGGGACTGCTTCGCCTCTCCTGGGACTTCACTCATGTTAACACTGAAAACCCCATGTCCTCTCAAACTCCTGGCCTCAGACAACCAGAATGACTTGATGTCCTTTGAGGTTTGAATCTGAAACATCCTTCCCTGGTCCCATCCAGCATATACATGCATCCATATAATCGCACACACAGGCATAAACTCCTACTTATACCTACAAATATACTCATTCCATTACAACAGAACATTCTCATAATGCATTATTGTGCTGTACCTAATAGCTGATGAACCAGGAGAAAATTTTCTCAAATGGTTATTTTGAACCTTTTTTTAAAATATAAGAAACAGGATTAAAAAGTGAGAAGTAGACTGAAGTCAATGAAAAGACCATCATCTACTCAGAAAACAGATACGTAAGAAAATGGTAGAGACAGAAGCACCTGTGAACTTTCATTTCCTCCTTTTCTGTAATCTCCTGTTCTAACTCAATGGTTGCCTTTTCTCCAAACATA